CACCACCACCACCCCATATTACCATCACCACCACCATCACCACCACCAGCACCACCACCACACCATCACCACCACCACCATGAACACCACCGTTACCATCACCATCTTCACTATCACCACTAACATCACCACCACCACCACCACCACCATCACCATCATCACCACCACTATCACCACCACCACCACCACCACACCATCACCAACACCACCATGAACACCACTGTTACCATCACCATCTTCACTATCACCACTAACATCACCACCACCACCACCACCACCACCATGATCACCACTACCATCATCACCATCAACACCAAAACCATCATCACCACCATCACTTCCACCACTTTTACCGCCGTCATCATCCCTGCTACCACCCACACCACCACTGTCACCTCCACTGCCACCATTATAGCCACTATTACCACCACCACAATGACCACCGTCATCACCGCCACCACTCATACCCTCCAGCTCCTTTTTAGCTGCTTATAGTCTAATTAGAGGGATGAAAGAAAACATGCACAGATGATAAAGGGCTCTGATTTAAGCATAAAGTGCTCTGGAAGAACCACCAAACCTAGCAGTGTCTTGGAAGTTTTCCTGTTTGATATGCATCCTGCACAATGCCTTTATATTATTAGCATAAGAGAGATCCGTAACCAGTAGTGATTAGCTGACCAGTATTATAGGGGTGGAGTCATATACCCAGATATGAGAATTAATTCAGTTGTTTCTTTCCAGCCAGATGTCTACCCTGGAAAGTGCTGGGCTTTCCCAGGTTCCCAGGGTTATACCCTTATCAAGCTTGCCAGGAAGATCATACCAACTGCTGTTACCATGGAGCACATCTCAGAGAAGGTTTCTCCCTCAGGAAACATCTCCAGTGCACCCAAGGAATTTTCTGTCTATGTGAGAAGCTCTCTAAATCTGTCATTCAGAATGGGTTGTGACAGAAGGTGGTTGGCTAGGAGTTAGCAGCTGGACTCTCGTCTTAACTGTGCAGCTATCTAGGTCTGTGCTTACTTCCGAGACCTCTGGTTTTCTCATCTACAGAGTGAGAGGGTTGGATCAGATGATTTCAATTACTTAATTTTATTTTTTGCTTTTATCAAATTATACATATACAATGAAAAATCAAATATTTCCCTAAAGTTTGTAATAAAACAGTGGTTCCTTGTCCCACTTCTCTCCACCTCCAATTCTCATTATCCCAAGTCTTCCACTCCAACAACTTTAGCTGCTTATTTGGGTATTTGCCCCCATATCTGCTTTTACTGTTATTTCTTGATGTTTTATCTGCTGACATCTTCCCATGGAAAATGAAGATTAGGTCTCTTCTGTGGTTTCCCTGTCCTCCGAATATGTTTACATCTTAACTTTTTTTTTCTTTTTTTTGATGACTAGCCATAATTTACAAAACATTTAATTCACCCATTTAAAGTGCACACTTCAGGGGCCGGCCGTGGCTCACTTGGGAGAGTGCGGTGCTGATAACACCAAGGCCACGGGTTTGGATCCCATATAGGGATGGCCGGTTAGCTCACTGGGTGAGCGTGGTGCTGACAACACCAAGCCAAGGGTTAAGATCCCCTTACCGGTCATCTTTATAAAAAAATAAAAAATAAAAAAATAAAGTGCACACTTCAGTGGCCTTTAGTATATTCACAGAGTTGTGTATCCATCACCATGATTAATTTTAGAATATTCTTTTGACCCCCCAAAGAAACCCCACACCCCTTAGCTGTCACTTCTCATCCTCCCATCCCACTCCCTCCACCCCTGGAAACCACTAATCAACTTTGTCTCTATAAATTCACCTATTCTGAACATTTATATAAATGGAATCATATAATATGTGGTCTTTTGTGAAAGGCTCCTTTCATTTAGCATAAAGTTTTCATAATGTTTGTAGCATGTGTCAGTACTTTATTTCTTCTGTTGCTGAATAATGTTTCATTGTATAAATGTACCACACTTTTTAAATCCATTCATCAGTTGATGGACATTTGAATCATTTCCATTTTTTGGCTATTATGAATAATGCAGCTATGAACGTTTGTGTGCGAGTTTTTGTGTGGACATTGATTTTTGTTTTCCTTGGGTATATACCTCTTGGAATCGCTGGATCACATGGTGAATCTATGTTTAATGTTTGAGGCACTGCTAGACTGCATATCTTTTTATTTCAATCAATATTCAGTGTTTTCATGGAGACTGTGAACTATATTGTTCTCAGTCGAGGCATAGAGTGTACTTTATACTATTTTATTTTCTTGCAAAATTTTTTGAAGTTTCTGGGAAAACAGTTGCTTCATTTTTTATTTAATTTGTTTAGTTTTGTATATGCCTATCATTAAATCATTTCTAAACTCTTCTTCGGAAGTGTAATTATCCTCCCATTATGTTAATTCATGTCAGATAATTCACAAATTTCCCTTTCTTTTCTTTTCTTCCTTCCTTCCTTCCTTCCTTCCTTCCTTCCTTCCTTCCTTCCTT